GATAGATAGATAGAACAACAGATAGATAGAACAGACAGAGATAGATAGATAGAACAATAGATAGAATGATAGATGTAACGATAGATAGATAGAATGATAGAGATAATGGTAGATAGATAGATAGATGGATAGAACAACAGACAGATAGATAGACAGATAGAACAACAGACAGAGAGATAGATAGACTCTAACTCTTCTCTGATGTTTGTTGAGTGTGAAGATCACGGAGCTGAACCTGACGTCTGACCTGCGCTTCCAGCCTGACGTGGGGCTTCTGTTCGAGGTGCAGAACTCCTCCATCACCCTCAACTTCCAGAGACGCATCCTGTACTGGCTCTTGTGAGTCTGAACACATCTGCAGAAGACATGCATGATTCGAGGTTACAAGCAACTGAACGAAATTAATACTTTTATTCAGCAAGGATGCATTCAATTGATCATTTATAATGTTACAAAGGATTTTTAGTTCAAATAAATGCTGTTCTTTTGAACTTTCTATTCATCAAAGAATCCTGAAAATAGACATGTATCACAGTATGAACGTTTGACATTGATAATAATTAGAAATGTTTATTGAGCAGTAAATCAGCATATTAGGATGATTTCTGAAGGATCATGTGACACTGAAGACTGGAGTAATGATGCTGAATATTCAGCTTTGATCACAGGAATTAATTACATTTTACAATATATTCACATTGAAATATTGCAATAATATTTCACAGGATTATTGTTTATCAATATTAATATTTCATAATATTTCATCTATTGTTGATCAAATAAATGCTGTCTTGATGAGGTGTCCTTCTTTCTCTTCATCAGTTATGATGAGGGAGCCATCAACGCCTCCGCTGAAGGTGTCGACATCTTCACAGTCCTCCATCTCAACAAAGACAAGGAGGGACGTCTCAAGATCTCCAATGTCGACTGTAATGCATCCATCGCCAAGATGAGGGCCAGATTTAGCGGGACCCTCGGGTACTTCACTCTGTATTGAACTTTGAGCATTGAAATGGACACGATTTGATTAACTGTACAATTTATTTGTTAATTGTTTGCTCAGCATTTTGCATGTCTATCTGATATATGGCATATTCTTATGTGTCTCAAAATATTCTCACAGGAGGGTTTATGACTTCATCGGAGCGTTCCTGACTACAGGAATGCGCTTCGTCTTAAATAAACAGGTTTGTTTGCTTTTTTCCAGTCAGGATTAGCAGATGCTAGTAGGGTGCTTAGTTACATATCATTGCTCATTACAAATACAGAGTTCTGGCATGAATCTCTAGATGGCGCTGTCCGATATGTCTAACTCAATCTGACCTAATCACATAGCACAGCTGATTGGTTCTCTCCTGTATCGGTAGCCAATGAGCTCGCTGCTCAACATTCAAATATATGACTAGTGCTTGCTGTAGCAGTTGCAGCTTGCTTCAGAAACCCTCCACCTTCCCCAGCTCCACCTGTATAGATCTGCTACAGGGTGATTCATGTATGCTATATGGGGGTTATTTCATGTATGTTATATTTGCAGCAGCAGTATTTCTTACATGCTTGCAGCAGCATGTTGTGGATGTATTGGCAGTAGCAAGTCTCGGTACTTGCTCTGCCGCAGCAGCAGCAGCAGCGTAGCAGATCTATTCCGCCAAGACCAGATACTTTAACATTGTCATGTACATTACCATGCCAATCCCTCCGAGAGTTGTCATGACAGAAAAAAAATGACATTTTAACACATTTTAATGAAAGATAACTTTCGCACATATGTCTCTGTCAGATTTGTCCTGCTTTGAATCATGCTGCACTGGTTCTGGTTAACCAGCTACTGGAAACAATCCCAGGTTAGAGAACGATGTTGATCATTGTAAAACTGTCGTGAAATATTGATCTGTCAGACTCGTGTGTTTACGGGAATGTGTTTTTCAGTGCGCGCGGAGGTGGACAATTACGTGGGCATCGATTACTCACTGCTAAATGACCCTGTGGTGACGGAAACAAGCCTTGATATGGATTTTAGGGTGAGTGACAGCCGACTAGTTACTGAGCTTGATATGCAAGTTTACACAAAGTTTTTGGGTCAGCAAAGATACATTATTTATATTTATCAAAGAATTCAGAAATAATTTATCATATAGCTCAACTGTTTTTAACACTGATAATAATCAGAAATGTTTCTTGAGCAGCAAATCAGCGTATTAGAATGATTTCTGAAGATCATGTGACACTGAAGACTGGAGGAATGATGCTGAAAATTCAGCTGCGGATCATAGGAATCAATTACATTATATTACATTGCATTTAATTACAGAACAGTTATTTTAATTTGAAACAATATTTCACAATATTACGTTTTGTACTGTGCTTTTGATTAAATATATGAAGCCTTGGTGAGTTGCTGCTGTCGAAAACATTTAAAAACTAAAAAGTATATATATATATATATATATATACTGTATATTTAATTAGATGTTAAAATATCTTATAGTGATATTAAGTTTACTTATATTACCTTATATATATTTTTTTACATTATTAAATAATGCAAATCTTAACTTGTCCAAAACATATTTTAAAAAATATATTTTGTGTTTACCCAAAAATGTATTTTAAGAATGCAAATGTATTTTCTTCCTGATTTGAAGTACATTTTCTATTAGTCTATATATTTTGGAATTTAAGGGTGTAAATGAAATACAGTTTTTAATTTGAAAAAAAATATGGTGTTGTTTACACAATATATTTAGCATATATTCTACATATATTTATATACAGTATATAGAATTATGGGTAGAATATATGTCAATTTTTAAAAAAATGTATTATGTATTTCTCTCCCTCTCTCGTCTACACAGGGCATGTTTTATGACCTTAAGAATGAGAACGAGACGCTCGTGAACTACGCTGTGAATCCGATAGTGAGAGAGTATGATCGTATGATCTATCTCGCTCTCTCTGAATTTTTCTTTGACAGCGGCCTCTTCTCTTACTTCAAAGGCGGACTGTTCCAAATGCAGATTGCAAACGAAAGAGTAAGAGACCATCCAATACACTTCAAGAGCATGATACACTAATAAGACAAAAGCAACTATTGCTCGACTCATTTCAGATGCCCAAGGACTTGGAGATGCTCCTCAGGACCACCTACTTGGGGACAATCATGATGTTGGTGAGCAAAACTAAGATGTAGAAATCGCATAGCAATGTCCCAGCAACCATCTATTCTCTGTGTTTGTCTATCCAAGCAGAACCCGGCTCTAATAGAGCATCCTCTGTCGCTTGAGTTAGAGGTCACATCTCCTCCTCGCTCCACTATCAAGACCTCTGGCGCCAGTGTGGCTGTCAAGTGTAACGTCAAAGTGTTGGTTCTTCCTCCAGGAAAACCAGCAGTCCAGCTCAGCAGCATGACCATGGTGAGGAGAACTACAGTATACACAATATATACAACCAATAGTTTCAGAATGAAGGGATGTTATAAATGCACCAAATTTCATCTGGTGCCAAAAAAAAATTCATCTTGTTTTTAGGAAGGCAAATTCAACGCAAAAGTATCAATGAAGGGCAAGCGCTTGGCCATCCATTTAGATCTGAGAAGGTGAATATGATGCACAAACACTGATCTGTATATTTGACTCATTTTTAATATTGATTTTGAACTGAGAATCTGTTTTCAGGTTTAAAATTTTCTCCAATCAATCTGCTCTCGAGTCTTTGGCTGTAAGTTTGTGTTTCCAGATACAAATATATTTGATGTAAAACTAATCAAGAGCAGATATAGTCAATGTAATGAATATTTTCCTTCAGCTTATTCCACTGCAAGGTCCGTTGAAAACGATGCTGCAGATATCTGTGGTGCCTCTCATTAACAGTAAGTGAAACAATATATATATATATATATATATATTAAATGACGTCTCATGCTCAAGGCTGCATTTACTTGATTAAAAAATAACAGTAAAAATTGTGAAATATTATTACAATTTAAAACAAGTGTTTTTTTATTTGAATATATGTTCAAATGTAATTTATTCCTGTGATGTGCAGCTGAATATTCAGCATCATTACGCCAGTCTTCAGTGTCACATGATCCTTCAGAAATCATTCTAATATGCTGACTGATGCTCAATAATTTTTTTTAAATCAACGTTGAAAACAATGTTGTGCTGCTTCATATTTTTTAAATATGACATTCTTTTTTTTTTTCCAGAGCATTTATTCAAAAATTACATTTAATGTCAAATTTTGATCAATTGAATGTGTTCTTTCTGAATAAACTTTAATTTCTTTAACAAATCATTTTACCGACCCCAAACATAGTCACTAAAATATTTCAAACAAATCAAAATGTGTTTTCATGCAAGATTACACTAAGCGAGGTGTGCAGATCCCTCTTCCGGACGGGCTAGACTTCATTGAAGAGGTGGTGGAGTATCACAATGTAAGTGGCTGGTGAAAATTTTAACATCTTCAGCCAATTTTGATATGCTCAGCTATGATTCTCCATCTTTGATTTCACAGGGCTACATCATCGTGGGGGCAAACCTACACTTCAGAACAGGTCTGAGAGAAATAATCGAGAGGAAGCTGTCGGGTGAGACAGACAACTCAATTTAAGACCAGAGAAGGGCCAGGCTAACACTACCGCATGTACAAAGTCATGCACGGATACTAAAATATGGAGCAATAAATGGAGGTTGTAACTAACCTTCCAGCAGAGGCAGGATGTTTATTAACTGTACAGAACATTTGATTCTCAAGACCTGCTATCGTTACAGTAAATTCAACCTATTTACTCTCTGAATACACATTCCTGGTGCAATTGTGAACAGTTTGCACTTTATGCCAACATGCAATCCCTATTTTTCCTAATTATACTGCTAATATAATGAACATTGGCAGGGTCTAACAATTAATGAGTGCAAATTACCAACCTTGTCGGCAAAGGCTATTTTCACTATTGCTTAGGAATTTCACCTTTAGCACGAATAGCGCATTTTTTCTTTTTACACTTTGTGCAAACAGTATCTATCACCATTTGCTCTCAGTGTAAATACAGTCTAACTTTTTACACTCAGTGTAAATAGCCGTTGCATGATGATTACACCAGTATAAGCAAATAAGTATATATTTGCAAAAAGCAGCATTACCGTTTGGATATGTAGAGGTGCTCTTGAGGATGGTATTTCAGTGGAAAACAGATCCCCCACAAACCAATACAAAGTTACATTTAGACATGACTCTGTTCTAATATCAAACACTCCGTGCATTAATACGAAGTACCAAACTACATTTTTTACCCACATTTCAGAAGCAAAATGGGTTGCAAATACAGGTTCATGTTGACTTTAAGGTATTGCACCAGTGTCTGAACCCTGAAAACACATGTACAACTCTTATACTGTGCGCTTAGGTGTATAAAACAATGTATTTGTACTTTTAGTTGCATTTTATGATTTTTTGTACAAGTTTTATCGTATATTGATTGTTTAATATGAGATAGGTTTGCCATCCTCATCTGTGAATACAATCACTGTACCTCTTTATAAAAATGACATGTTAAAAATCAGCAAATGTTACTGTTTTTGATCTGAAAACTTTAGTTCATCATTGAAATGATTGAAAGGGTTTAAAAATGCTTTCTAAAATTAAAAGATCACAAAGAAAAACTTAATCATAGAAAATTTCTTTAATTAAAAAAAAAATTAAAACTGGGGGGGAAAAAAAGGATAAAAAAAGGCACAAAAAATATTCCCTTATGAGCACAAAAAGTACCAGAGATAATGTACATCACTTTAAACCACAAGCAACTCAGTGACACCTCAACAAACGTCTACAGTTATCACAGCGAGGTATTAATACCTGAAGATATAACAAAAATAATCTGTGCGATGATTAATAAAAGCTACAATTTCATGTTTAATAGAGAAGACATAAGCTAAAATTGCGCAATAACCACTCACAGCTGATCAGATCGAATTTCAATTCGCAAACACTCAGCATCTCTCGCTATTAAATCAATCATAATCAAAGATCGGCGGAGTAATATAGACATCTGTGAATCTCTTAAACACATATGATGAAACATCCTTATGTACAGTCAGCATGACTTTAGTTCACAGGCTGGCAACTAAACTACATAAATACATGATCAGTTTTGAGTGGCAAAGTGACTGAAAACGGTCAGTGGTCCATCCATCAGAAACATTTTACCAGTATGACAGTGCAAATCCAGATTTAAAAAAAAGAGTAAAAATCCCCGACTGTGTTCTAGTAAGGTTGTTTGGTGACACTCAGTGTAAATAGCCGTTGCATGATGATTACACCAGTATAAGCAAATAAGTATATATTTGCAAAAAGCAGCATTACCGTTTGGATATGTAGAGGTGCTCTTGAGGATGGTATTTCAGTGGAAAACAGATCCCCCACAAACCAATACAAAGTTACATTTAGACATGACTCTGTTCTAATATCAAACACTCCGTGCATTAATACGAAGTACCAAACTACATTTTTTACCCACATTTCAGAAGCAAAATGGGTTGCAAATACAGGTTCATGTTGACTTTAAGGTATTGCACCAGTGTCTGAACCCTGAAAACACATGTACAACTCTTATACTGTGCGCTTAGGTGTATAAAACAATGTATTTGTACTTTTAGTTGCATTTTATGATTTTTTGTACAAGTTTTATCGTATATTGATTGTTTAATATGAGATAGGTTTGCCATCCTCATCTGTGAATACAATCACTGTACCTCTTTATAAAAATGACATGTTAAAAATCAGCAAATGTTACTGTTTTTGATCTGAAAACTTTAGTTCATCATTGAAATGATTGAAAGGGTTTAAAAATGCTTTCTAAAATTAAAAGATCACAAAGAAAAACTTAATCATAGAAAATTTCTTTAATTAAAAAAAAAATTAAAACTGGGGGGGAAAAAAAGGATAAAAAAAGGCACAAAAAATATTCCCTTATGAGCACAAAAAGTACCAGAGATAATGTACATCACTTTAAACCACAAGCAACTCAGTGACACCTCAACAAACGTCTACAGTTATCACAGCGAGGTATTAATACCTGAAGATATAACAAAAATAATCTGTGCGATGATTAATAAAAGCTACAATTTCATGTTTAATAGAGAAGACATAAGCTAAAATTGCGCAATAACCACTCACAGCTGATCAGATCGAATTTCAATTCGCAAACACTCAGCATCTCTCGCTATTAAATCAATCATAATCAAAGATCGGCGGAGTAATATAGACATCTGTGAATCTCTTAAACACATATGATGAAACATCCTTATGTACAGTCAGCATGACTTTAGTTCACAGGCTGGCAACTAAACTACATAAATACATGATCAGTTTTGAGTGGCAAAGTGACTGAAAACGGTCAGTGGTCCATCCATCAGAAACATTTTACCAGTATGACAGTGCAAATCCAGATTTAAAAAGAGTAAAAATCCCCGACTGTGTTCTAGTAAGGTTGTTTGGTGATGAAGCGACTGAACATTGTGAAGGCCGCTATGGGTTTGTCAGTGGGAACCATGTGACCCGAACCCTGTGGAGGACATGGATAAATACAATGTAAAAAATAAAAACAGAATACAATAAAGAAAAAGAAATAAAAAGTACACCGAGAAAAAAAGCTCACAGATGCATATACTAGGTAAAACTAGTTTACAATGGAAGTGTATGGAGCTCTCCATTCTAAACCCAATTAAGCTGCGTTATGATGCCTAAAATGCTATGTAGGCAGCTCAGGAGATGTTTGAAATAATATCATGGCACGGATTAGTGCAAATCCAGATTTAAAAAGAGTAAAAATCCCCGACTGTGTTCTAGTAAGGTTGTTTGGTGATGAAGCGACTGAACATTGTGAAGGCCGCTATGGGTTTGTCAGTGGGAACCATGTGACCCGAACCCTGTGGAGGACATGGATAAATACAATGTAAAAAATAAAAACAAAGCAAAAATAATAATAGAATACAATAAAGAAAAAGAAATAAAAAGTACACTGAGAAAAAAAGCTCACAGATGCATATACTAGGTAAAACTAGTTTACAATGGAAGTCTATGGAGTTCTCCATTCTAAACCCAATTAAGCTGCGTTATGATGCCTAAAATGCTATGTAGGCAGCTCAGGAGATGTTTGAAATAATATCATGGCACGGATGTCTTGTGCCATTGATTTGAATGCAGTCTCACCTTCACTGTGAGGAAAGCGATGTGGGTGAACTCCTTTACAAAGCCGCCGATCTGCTGAGTTTCACCATTGAAATAAATCCAAGGTCTGCGCTGCACCTGCACCTGTTGGAGAAGATAAGGAGACGTTGTTTCTTCTGCTACAGCAAAAAAGGTTCTTTTAGACCACAAACAATATGGACCGTCTAATACATAATTGTACAAAAATGGCAAGAGTTTTCTCAAAAAAAAAAAAAAAACATTTAATAACAACAACAAAACAAATTTAATGTTGTTATTTCTTCTTTATTTATTTATGATTTAACACCATGTCTGCAGCAATGGCTATATTCATGGCAAAAATAATTCAATTGCATAACTCAAATTAGGTTTTTTTTGCCCCGCCCTACTGTCAGCTACCACAGTGTTTTAATCAGTGGATTGCTAAATGAATGAATATTCAAACAATTTTTTATATATTTTCTTTTTCTTTCTGTCTCTTCAGCCTACATCCCCACTCCTATCTATTTTGGAGCTGTGATTGACACCACCTGTATGCTGTGGCAGCAGGATTGTGGTTTCCATGGGTCCTGCTGGGAGTATGATGTCACTTCCCTCCGCTTTGTTTACTTTGGGCTGGCGGCGAGCTTGAAGTTCCTGGGCTTCCTGTTCATTTTCCTCACCTGGTATTCGCTGAAGCAGTGCGAGGAGCAGACACACACACACACACACACGCTTTCCCCTCTGGACACGGTGAGCCACCTCATCTGTCACGCAGGAGGTCACAAAGGCCACGCCCGCACACGCTCCTGTCCTGTCTTCCTGCCACGCCTGCCTGAACACTCCCATGCTGCCATGCCAACTGGACACGCCCTTAGCCGTGGTAACAGCTGCCCTGGCAATGGCCTGAAAGCAATAACTCCACCCATACGGTCACTTGAAAAAGTGGCGGTGTGAGGATTGCAGCCATGCACACACATATACACACACACACACATACTTGCTCATACACATGCATGCAAACATCATACAATTATGAGGGCCGATTATGTAAATGTAAACGTACCACACCGCATATAGCCATTGCTGATCAGTTTTTTTTTTTTTTTTTAAACACACACACACACACACACACACACACACACACACACAATTAATGAGCAGTCCCCAGACAAAGACTAAAAGAAAGTAGGACACAATATCAGTGGGCAACAACTCGCCTCTTGCTGGAGCGACTCCACAAACCATTCGTCTCCTAGGAAGTTGCAGGCCATGTCCACATCTCCATTATATACCAACACACGGTATTTCTGTTGAGAAAAAAAAAAGAAAAAGTAATTAAAATCAATAAGAGCTGGTAAATATTTGATTCATAAGAGTTTACATTTCCATCACTCACTAGTGCTCCAAGCAGCTTCAGGTACTGTTTCTTCACATCCTTGAACAGCCGGTTATAGTTCAGATTGACTTCAGCACTGCAACAAACAACCAGACACAATTGCACATGAAAATCCTTTATCACAAAACTCATCTGCATGGTTAAAGTCCACTCAACACACCTACAGATGACCCAGTCCAAAGCATTGGGCGAGATGTGGAGAGCAGACTTCACCTGCGGGTTGTTGAGATACAGGGTGGATGGAGTAGAGTTGGTACACGGAGGATCCAGCCTCGAAGATTTGAACAGGGAGACCACACCTCGCAATTTCTGATTCAAGGAGAAGATTCATGTGGATTAACCCTCAAAGCACCACATAAACGTGTTAACACCATGACCAGGCACAAAGCTTTGTTCTTCATAGTTCTTAAAGGGATAGTTCTCCCAAAAGCAAAAATTCTGTCATCATTAACTCACCCCGAAGTTGTTCCAAACCTGTATGCATTTCTTTGTGTGGAACATAAGACAATATGTGACCCTGGAGCACAAAAGCAGTCTTAAGTCGCTGGGGTATATTTGTAGCAATAGCCAAAAATACATTGTATGGGTCAAAATTATCGATTTTTCTTTTATGCCAAAAATCATTAGGATATTAAGTAAAGATCATGTTCCATGAAGATATTTTATACATTTCCTACTGTAAATATATAAAAACTTAATTTTTGATTAGTAATATGCATTGCTAAGAACTTCATTTGGACAACTTTAAAGCTGATTTTCTCAATATTTAGATTTTTTTTGTACCCTCAGATTCCAGATTTTCAAATAGTTGTATCTCGGCCAAATATTGTCTCGAAAGACAAGTTTCGAAAAATTGACACTTAAGACTGGTTTTGTGGTCCAGGGTCACATATTATTAAGAATGTTGGTAACCAAGCAGTTGATGGTCCCCATAGACTTTTATAGTAAAATTCTATGGAAGTCAATGGGGACTAGAAACTGCTTGATTACCAACATTCTTCAAAATATCTTCTTTGTATTCAGCAGATGAAAGAAACTCATCCAGTTTTGGAACAGCTTGAGTGTCAGTAAATGACAATTTTTCTGTTTTGGGTGAAGAATTTCTTTAAAGATTTCATTCACCCAAAAATGAATTTATAGTCAAGGGGTAACCAGACTCGGTCCTGGAGGGCCTGTGTCCTGCAGAGTTTAGCTCCAACCCTAATCAAAACACCTGAACAAGCTAATAAAGGTCTTACTAGGTATACTTGAAACTTGCAGGGAGGTGTATTGAGGCAAGTTGGAGCTAAACCGGCTTTCATTGTATAGAAATGAGCATGAGAACTGCTAAACATGTCCTTTTGTGTTGCACAGAACAAAAGCAACTCATACAGGATTGAAACAACATGAGTGTATTAGTAACGAGCAAGTGACAATGCTCATTTTCAGTCTGAGTCAATAAGCTATTTGAAAATGAGACTCTGTATTCCGAATCCGAAAGCAACACATAAACTGGTTTCTCTACCTCGTTCTGCGCTTTGGACCATGGATGGTTGAGGAAGTGGTGGCCCATGTCTCGGATCACAAACTGGCCATTTTCAATGCTGGTTTCAGAACGCAGAACAAAATGACACTGGAACGTCTTCTTATGAACTGACATTAAACAGTTACATAACTGATCCAAGCTCACCTGACTCTCTGCTGAACACCTCCGGCACAGGGTGCATACAGGTTATAAATGTTGAGTCCTGAATTGTAGACTATAGCTTGAGCTGTATAGAGCTAAAGATTGATAGAAAGATAAGAAAAGATTAGTAAAGAATGTGACATGACATCTAAAGCCATTAGTAGAGCACCGTTTAACTTACAGAAGTGGAGCAGTTCACATCCTGGTTATCGTAGAAGTTACACACTCCATCTTTGCAGCAAAAAGTCTGCAGGTCATTCCACAAGCTATGCATAAAAATAAAAAAGGTACAAAATAAATACACAAAGCTACAAAAAACAACAAACAAAATTCACAAATAAATGATTTATTTTATTACAATGCATTTATTTTTTGCCTGTTGCAAGTAGTAGTGACACGTGTCTTCACATCAAGCACCAATATATAAGAGTACATGTATAAAAGAGTTGTTAAATAGACTCACACGAAAAGAGTCATGAGGTTAAATAAATAAATATCACACCTGGTCCCAAGAAGTCCATGATAGTACGCAAAATAGACCAGTGAATTGTCATTTAGTTCATAACTGGACAAGCCATTTCCAACTGCAATACCCTACAAAACACAAATACACACACTCCATACACTCTGCTGGCTCAATATCGGTGTTATTTATGGGCAATATAGTCAAAATAAAGTCCCTCCTACCTGTAAATTTATGCTGCTGTCCTCCATGACAATCTCAGCCAGCGTTGGAATGTAAATGCCTCCGTAACTCTCGCCAGTCAAGAAAAACTCATTCTTGCTGAACTCAGGAAACAACCTGAAAAATTCTTTCAAGGCCAAGTAGTTGTTTGTGGCCACCTGGAAAGTCAGCGATTATATGGTTACCATTTTGGTTTTTGATCATAAACAGTTCAATTAAATATGATCTGTGACACGCAATTAAATATTAATATATATTTTCTTTTCTTTTCTTTTTTTCCCCTTAAAGGGGTCATAGGATGCCCATTTTCCACATGTTGATATGATTCTTTAGGGTCTTAATGAAAAGTCTGTAACATAGTTTGGTTAAAATTTCTCAATGGTAGTGTAAAAAAAAAACACCTTCTTTACCCGGTCAAGCACAGCTCTTTTCAGAGCATGCAGATTTGTAGCGTTTTCCTTTAAATGTTAATGAGCTCTGCTGGCCCCGCCCCTCTCTTCCGAGCCGCTCTCAGAGAGACTGTTTACTTCAGCCGCATTCATCGTGAAACTTGCTAATTAGCACATTATTAGGAAAGGCGATTTGCAAAGATTCGTTAAAAAAGCCTTACACTCACTTCTTCTGTAGATGAGGCTGGATCACGAATGATTCGCACATTCGCATAGATGCATTTATGTAGATCGGGGGCGCATTCCCTTCAAAAACAAACATGATCCACTGTGTCTTCAGCGGCTCAGATGTCGGGAGTAAATGACGAATGCTATGTTCATTATTACATTCAACAACAGAACACCTCAATCGCTTGTTAGGAGTCATTCTTGTCTACATCTGCTCCGGCGGTGAAACAATGGCGGACTGATGACAGTCACTCAGGGCGGAGCTAAGGTAAGACGCCAGTCCAGTCTGTGCTGAAACGCTACAGTCACTCAAACTATCGTGGGAGGGGCCTGTCTGTGTGACGTCACACAGGCAGGCATCTGAGATCGGCTCGATTTGGGAAAGGGGGAAAGATTTTAGTAGATTAACAAGTGGATTTTTATCATTATAGGGTGGTTGTGTGCACACACTGCCAACACACATTTCAGTTCAAACAACTTGTAAAAGTGCATGTAGCATTATATGACCCCTTTAATATGATTTAAATCATACCTCTGTGTCATTGGTAGTGTACTTCTTGTCATCAGAGTAGGAGAAGCCGACACCTGCTGGTGACTCCAGGTATAAGACATTTGCAATCTGGAAAAACAGCCCATGTTTAGTACAATAAAGCTGGTTTGCTACAGCCAAGAATAAAAGACCATAAGAGCATGTGACTGGCTTAAGGAAGTGTCATAGTCCAGTTACCGAAACTGACCCCCAAGAATTCCTCATTTCACACCACAGAAATAACTCATTAGGTAATGCTGAAGTTTTTGTAGGCTATATATGCGTATAAGCCAAAATCCATACCTTGTTCCAAGCATAAGGATTATATTCTAGAGTTGCACCGTCATCTTGGATCTGTGAAAAACCGGAGAGAAGGGATAACACATTATTTAAAGCATTGATGCTTTTAAATATTTTAATAAAATAAATTGTGAAACATCAGTGCAGTTATTTATAAAAAAAAAAAAAAAAAAAAAAAAGTGTTGTAAAATCTCACCAGGAAAGGTCCGTGTTCTGTGAGCAAACCATCCAAGGAGCTGCATCCTGGTCCTCCGTTCAGCCACAGAACAACCGGACTATTAGCCGGATCTTTCTGAGACTCAACAAACCTGAACAGCAGGAACACAATAATGTTGGACATTTACATATGAGAATTTTCTAAACTATTCTAAGGCTCATTTAAATGAAAGTGAAAGTCGGACAGTCCAGCTTACCAGTAGTGAAGGTGTTTGTTATCTGCCACACTGAAGTATCCAGAATAATGCTTGAAGCTGGGCTGTTTTGAAAGTCCAGAAAGATATTTGATCTCATCTGCATCTGGAGCCCCAGAAACCTCCAGCACCCCCAGCAGCACCCCCAGCAGCACCAGATGCATCTGAAGCACAGCAAAACACCACAGTCACGGACTTAACCTTCTTACAGAAAAGAACACTCATCAATTATAATAATCTGAAGCAAAGAGGTCACCAAAAACCAAAAGGGTAATCATCTAACTCAGAGCACTAACCAGGAAATTGAGGGTTTATCTTATAATGACAGTGAAAATCTGACGCATGGACGGATATTATTCAGCTAAACAAAGATTAAAATTGTTCACAGTATTGTTTTATTAGTCTTACCTTTCCAGGTGTGGGAACAAAAACGTTTACCGGCTAGTAAATTGTTTAAGTAGTCCCAAAATTCATGTGACTTCAACTTTCCCCGTGATGAAGACACATGATGTTTTTTCGTCCGCGGTGTCAAAATAAAAGTGCTTCTAAATTTAAGCTTCTAAAAACAAAGAAAACAACCTATAAATAAAGAATGATTTGCTCATATTGAGAAATACACTATAAAACACTTTTTGCGCTAATTGTGTGAAGGTAATGCAACGATAAATAAAAAAAATAGGTTTGCTATTCATACTTTAATTTTTAAGATACTATGTACTTCTAAATGCATTGTTTTTATTTTGTATTTGCAAGTCGGTCTAAATGGAAACTGTGTGTTTTTTTTTAAGACAATTATTTGTACCGGAATCGTTGTTTACAAAGGAACATTTGAACTGGTGCTTTTATTTTGGAAACAGCGTCATCAACACAGTCTCTATCACACTCCGGAGCAGAAGGGGGCGGTAATGCACCAATAAGCTGGATGCCAACCGCCGTTAAACTGGAAAGAAGGAGAAGAAGAAGAACACAGTCTCTAAGCAACTCGCACTCTCGCAGTTCCGCACAGGATCACCGCAAGGTTGCGGGACTTTCGTTTTAATTGTTCGCACAAACAGGACGCCGCGAGGAAAATCGCAGGATAGTTTCCAGGTTCCCATGGTAACGGTAAGAGTTTGCTTCCATTAGCCGACAAACCCTTTCATAGGAATCAACAATTCTAGAGCTCTGTATCTACAGCTGCATTCATTGTTATAAATGTAAGCTAAGCTAGCTTGTTAGCTGCCCTGTTAGTCGAAGCATCGATTGTTCTTTTTGATTGTTGGAAACCGTAAATGTCGTTTTGGTAGTAAGAACACAATGTTTGAATCGTTCAACTCGAACATGAACGCACATGATTGAAAAAAAACAACAAAACCAAACGAATTTAAAGCAGCGGAGCATCTTCTGTGCGGAGCAACATGGCGCCTGATCGCATCCCACACTAGACGGAGTGTGCGCGGTTTTCTCTACAGCTTTTAAAAGGACGGAATTGACACGGTATGCATTTTTTTTTCCACAGGAGTACGCGGTCTTTGTCGTTTGCAGCAACATTTGCGCGGTCTTTTACACGGTTTGATTTCGCGTGAGCTCACGACACGGTCACAAAATGTCGGACGGGTTGTTGTGGCGCCGACGAGGAGGATTTTACATGCTGAACATTTTCACTTGTTGCCAGTTTTCACTCTCTCTGCCTTTTGGATGATAAAAAGTGGAGGAAATATGACAATGGAGGATGATAGACAGTGTAACAGATGATTAAAATACTAAATCGCGCGAAATTCCATAGTAGCAGTTTGTTTTGACTCTTTCAACAATGTGAGACTGTAAGAACAGCTGTGTTTTACAGGGCCATACTTCTTGAATTTCTAATATTCAAGCATTAATATAAAGATATTATAAGTAGTAATAGAGTGCCAAAATACTGAATCATAAGAAATATTTTGTGTTAAGTTTATTCTAGATTGGCACAGTATTTTAGAATGAAACGGGATATTCAATTAGAAAATTAATAATGTTCAAATCAATCAATCTACATTCAGATATCAAGATGTTTTAAGAAAGTAAATCTGGTCGATTTTGATTTCATGTTGACTTCTGCGGTGTTTTCTTACTTTGCCCAGTTATTTTACCTCTGGAATCTCTCTTTTCTTACATGTCGATGCATCGTCAATTTCAAGACCTTGGGGGAAATATAGCTAATCAAATAGTCTTGTAACTAAAATCAACTGCAAGCGTTCCTTGAAAAAGGGCCATTGAACCTAAAGATCGTAGAGGCATGTCGCACAGAAGAAGCCGGAGTAATACGCCACCCTCGTACACCACCAACAGCAATGACCCTCGTGAGCTGGAGCGACGGATTTTTGTCGGAAATTTGCCCACGGCACACATGGCGAAGAAGGACATGGAGGATCTGTTCAGGCCATATGGGAAAATACAGGGTTAGTAGCGTACAAACTCAAAGCCTTTTTAGACGTTTCGGGAAATTTCATAGTGTTCGCTGCAGTTTTAACTGCTTTAACCCACAGTTCTTTAGACTTCGGTCTAAAAGCTTTGGTTTGCGATTTGCAAAAAGCAAGGGAAGCTAAGGCCAAAAATCCACCAAAAAGCGTCTTTTTGCGTAAAACGAAAATGATTGTTCCCTTTTCCAGCTTTGTCCCTGTTTCGTGGCTACGGATTTGTGCAGTTTGAGCGAGTGGAGGATGCTGAGGCCGCTAAAGCCGGACAAAACGGCCGAATTTATAGAGGTTATAAACTAGGTAAGGTCTGATTTGGTATTAAACACTGGAGTGATTTGGGGAGTTGTTACATCAAGTTAAAAATTTTAGCTTGAGAGCATTTAATCATAGGACCAATTAATTGTATTACTGTAATAACTCCAATATGGTGAATCTAATAAAGCCAAACTTTACCTTAAATATGTTCCTTATGCAAATTGCATATTTAAGTTAATTTTTTTTTCTTTAAGCATTCTGTCTTGAATTTTTGTACATGTAAAGGTTAGAGGCTATAAATCCAAAGGAACGGTTTACAAATGTTATATTGGTGTCCTGTGACTTTTTGAAATGAATTAATATGCAGATCCCATGTTTTCCCATTCCACTTGTTCTTTTTGACTGCTGCAATTATAATCTTCTTGACTGTATAATTAAAATTATACAATAGTATCTGAATTTATGGCATTTTTTGATTTGCTAATGCTATAATTTGTATTATTATTATTTTTTTTTAATACTCCATTTGTCCAAAGCGACAGTTATTGTTGGTGATCTAATAAGGTCTCATTTGAGAGGTGTTTAATAAGTGTTTACAGCTGGGAATGTCAAATACTGTCGTACACATGATGCACAGGTTCACAAGATCCTTTGCTGCTCATTCCCCATCAGTGTAGTACTTAATTTTCAACTGCTATTTAAATTTTGGAAATGTTTACAATTTAGACACAACTTGTCTATTTTCTTCTGATGCAGAATGTCAAATGTTCATCCTCTGAGTAAAAGAAACTCGTTTGGCTCTGAAATATTTCCGTCTTTTGTCATATTGAACGTTTGGATTGGTTTATTTGCAGATGTAAATATGGCAGCGGAGAGACGACAGAATAAAGCCAGGTCAAGCCCTCCACGCAGGTAAAGTATCGCTGGGATTTTTGCTAATGAAGACGACCTCTATCGAGAATTTTGGTAAACGTTTTTCCCTCCACAATGGAATTCATCAAAAGTTCTAAAATGCATAAATATTGTCGAGTGCGCAAAAACGGTTCGGACTATCTTTCTCGTGGCTCTTCGGTTTTTAGTTTGTTCTATTTTTTTTTTTTTCTCCTTTATCACTTTTAGTTGTGTCAGAATTAACTGAAATAAAGTTGAAAGGGTCATTTGAGTACGTTTCCCCTTGGTGTGTGTTTGTCTAAACGGTGTGGTACTCAATCTGTTCACTTACTATGCACGGTTTTTCGAAATTGTCCACTGACAGTCGCTGCTTCCTGCTGGAGTCGTTTTCGACACTCCAATTAACACTCACTTCAGAAGTTTGTTTAATATTAAAATGCATTAAAACATTACCAAAAACCGAATTATTTCATGTACTCAAGTGGGATGGAAACAATTAAAACTAATTTAAGCAGTTCATTCAATTGTTGGATGCGTTGTTTATTTTTGGAGGTTGGTGTTTGTCTTTCAGAGAAAATGAGACTAATTATTTTGCAGTATCGGAAGAAAGAGGAGCCGTACCCTGAGCGCTACAGGGAACCCTGGAATGGCAGGAGAGAGTCTGAGGGTTGGTTGAATTGTTTATAACCATAATATAAAGCGGATTTTTTAATTTTTATTATTTTTGACCTATTTTAAAGATCAATAATTTTTTGCATTGTGACCAAGGAGTTATTATAGTTAAATTCATAAAAAAAACTTATTACTTGAAATATAACCGTTAACTGAAATAAAATAAAAAAAACTTGAAATTATTATTTCACCTAGTTGCAATATTTTAAAACCAAAAATAATATAAATGACAAAAAAATTACTAAAACTAACTGTATTAAAGTCAAAACAGATCATATAAAATGAAAATATAAAACTAGGGCTGCACGATTAATCGAATGCGATTTGTCATGCGCATCTTGTCATTAAAGCCGGTTCTGTGATTAGTAGTAAATCTCCAGCACGTGCTTTCAGATGGAGAGGCATTTACTACACAGAGCCGTAGTTCACTGACAAGCTACGCAAAATCGCGTTCATAATCGCGTGATTATGAAATCGTTCTGCGATTATGAAAGCTGTTTGCGTAGCTTGTCAGTAAACTACGGCTCTGTGTAGTAAATGCTGCTCCATGCACGTAAAAATACCACATTTAATAACATGTTTTTACTCAACTCACTTCATAACGTCAGTCGAGTGTTTGAAATAAATCCTTCTGTGAGATGATGTGGCTTCTTACACAGAATAAGGCACGTTGAATGCGTTGAATTAATGAGAGCAGTTAAATCTTCTGTTTATTCAGCAACTGCTATAGGGATTTTCTGGGTTTCTTCTGCGAGGCGTACTTGAAGTTTCAGCGCGAGAGCGCCCTCTGGCCTTCGGATGGAGATTTACTGCTGATCACAGAACCGTGCTTCACTGAAAGATATGCATGACAATCGCAGCTTCTGCCTAATCGCGATTTATCACCTTTGCGATTTAATTTCGATTAATTGTGCAGCCCTATATAAAACCGTAATATATCAAGGATTCTAGAATAAACTCTTTTTCTTCCAAAGTTCTTTTTGTTATGCAGTGGAATAAATACTACTGCGACACTTTGTTATTTTTGCATTAAGATTATGGGAATTTTGTGTGAATGAAAATATGACAATGCTAAAATCTTAAAAATCCTTAAAATATTTAAATAATGAAATGTTCTCTATGGAGTTTCTTCCAAGTATTGGTTACACTATATTTGTTCTATCAGTCATTGTCAGCAGCATTGGTAATTCAGTGGGTTAGTTTAAAGCGAACCAAAGTTTCACATGCACACAGTTTGTCATAGAGGGAGCAGAGGAGGAGTATATGTGAAAACTTAAGTGTTTGGTTCTGAATTTACAGAGGAACGGGTGCGTCCAGAAGAGCGCCGGAGAAATGAACTTTACCGGCAATATTATGAAGAGCTGCAGAGGCGCTATGATGCTGAGAGACCAGTGGACTGTTCCGTCATAGTCGTCAACAAGCTACAAAAGTGAGTCCTGTGACTATGTTCTTGAAGTGATTAAAACATCAATTGTTTTATTGGAGAGCCGGTTACACTTTCTGCTCTGCGGTTGTGTGCAGGGAATATGCTGAGACGGTGGGCAGGAAGGTTCGGGATCTGGGTATGGTGGTGGATCTCATCTTCCTGAATACAGAAGTGTCATTGACCCAAGCTCTAGAGGATGTGAGTCGGGCTCGTACACCTTTTGCCATCATCATCACCCAGCAGCACCAAGTACACCGTTCTTGTACAGTCAACATCCTCTTTGGGACTCCGCAAGGTGTGTATCCTTCCACAAAGAGTTGATAATATAAGCCAGTTCACCTGCTCATCAGCTTTAAGCTGGGAAAATCCAATGCAATTAAGCACCACAACTACTCAAAACCAGCCCAGTGTTGATATGAGATTGCAGTACAATATTTCAGATGTTCGCACATCACTATATAAGTTATAATCTACATTTTGGATGACCACAGCATACTCTTGTTGCAGAGCACAGGAACATGCCCATGCAGGATGCCATGGTGCTGGTGGCCCACAACTTTGACTCCTTTAAAGTTGAACACCGTGCTAAAGAAAGGGACGAGTTAGCAACGAAGGCGGCCAAGATGGCAGATGAGGTGTTGATGAGGGAACCTGACAGAGAAGGTCACCCTGCCTCCCTTCTGACCCACATCACCCTGCTGTCCGAGGGCAGGTAGGTCAACAAATGCTAGCATTCAAAAGTTTGTGGTTTGTAAGATTTAAATTGATCATAAATACATTAAAATGCTTTTTAAAATGTTGATGAGCGGTGCGGCATGTAAAAGTTGAAATTCTTTAACTTGACGCGGCATCTTAAATACGCTGCAGAAAACATGAGACGCGAGCCCAACGGTCATACACGTCCATCTAGCAACAATGGAAAAGTAGCACAGTGGAATGGAAAAACTCATTCTGTATAAACAGACCCTTACACCAGTTTTCAGTGTCACATGATCCTTCAGAAATCATTCTATGCTGATTTGCTGCTTAAACTTTTTTTTTTTTACCAATGTTGAAAAGTTTTTCTCTTGTAGAAATCTTTTTTTTTTTTTTTTTATGGCTACAAAGTTCAAAAGAACAGCATTTATTTGAAATAGAAATCTTTTGTAACATTATAAATGCCTTTTGTCACTTCTGATCAATTTAATGCAGCCTTGCTAAATAAAAGCATAACAAAAATGACTAACTTAGGACTGTTTTTTTTTTTTGTAATGTGTTTGTTTACTTAGCTGGAAAATATTTTTAACGGTGTTCACTTAAGATTACATGCCATTTGTTTGAATTTCTGTTAATGCAAATATGTTTTTTTTTTTTTTTTTTGTCTTCCGTAGCATTTTTTTTTTGCTGCATTATTGAAATTGCCATTGAAACTCAGGAAATTTTACTGGTGTTAAGTGTCAAATATAATGGATCATCTTTGCATCTCTCAGGTTTATGTCTTCAGATGAGTTGGCCAGGCTAATTGACTATCTGAGAGACAAACGTGATCGTCTTGTCCGAGGCAGTACTGACACGGGTAACTCCATAAGGCATTTTAAACTCAATGTTGTATTACGCTTTACACCTCAAGGCTTACACTTCACTGTTTTTATTCTTTCTAGTTGCACACCCTCCACCAACGACCCACGAGCCCTCTCAGCCCACACAGCCTCTATCCGCTCCAGCTCAGCCCGCATACACCAGCCTGCCCCTTCATTCCACCCACCTGACCCCTGTGTCCGCCCCCGCCGCCACCAACCAACAGCAGGAGCTCCAGGCTAAGATCCTCAGCATCTTCAACAGTGGCAGCGGCACGTCTTCAGTGTCCAGCCCCACTCCGGCGCCCCAAATGCAGGGTTACTCTTCCAGCCTCGGCCCTCATACTGCCGGACACCAGTCTTCTCATGCTGCCACCGGCATGCCCAAAATCGCTGCCGTCCAGCCGCAGAGCAGCATGATGAACCCTCGGCCTGCCCTGAGGCCTCCTGGCGCTCGTATGGCCGGGCCGACAGGCGCCCCGAGACCGGCAGTCACCACAGGCACTGGCATCAACTTTGACAACCCCAGCGTGCAGAAAGCCTTGGATACACTCATCCAGAGCGGACCCATTAACCACTTGGTGAATATGGGATCTGGTGCGGGTCAAGGGATCCGGTCAGCACAGGGAATGGGCCAAAGCATGGATCCATCACCCATGTCCCATTATTCCCGCCATTACTGAAATGAATAGATCTGATACGAATCGAGAAGTCGGCATGGCTCTGATTTATCATAAATTATTATTTTTTTGCTCCTGTGTAATTTGTGATAAAAAAAAAAAAAAACTAGTTTTCTGTGAAGTCATAGTTTTCTGGTTTTACGGTTTATTTAGTTTTTTTACTTATCTAACCTTTACAGAGCATGATTGATTGTTTAATGCATCAATAAATGAGAGAATTTCTGTTGTTTTATATGAAATTGATGCATTGTATATACCAGCCAACTTCTGACTTAATAAATTCATTTTTAGATAAAGAATTTTTTGTCTCTTGACTTTGTTTCTCCAGAATAGTTGTTTTCTACCTATTAAAGCTGAAATAAACAGATTTTCTCTTAATTTGCTGTCTGGATGCAAAGTTGTGGAAAGTCAAAGCCAGTCTAGAGATTTTGGGCAGTTGAAGGTGACATCTCACAGAAAGTCATGTAGTGTATGATGGGCACAGATTGTTTTTTTTAACAATACTGATTTTAAAACGGATTTTAATTTGTCATGCGTCTACTGCATTCTTAGAATAAAGCTTTATTGGCGTTGATGGTTCTATGATGAACTTTTAACCCACTCATCTGTAAATTCAGAACCAAACACTTGGCAAACCCCACCATTGGAAAATTATGCAAACTTTCTCTGCACTCCTAAAAATAAAAGTTCTTTATTGGCATTGATGGTTCCATGAAGAACCTTTTGTCCATGGAATCTCAATTCCACAAAAGGTTCTTTATAGTGCATGGGTAAAGGTTCTTAAGATGATTATAATTTTCTTCACACTAAGGAAAAAAAATGGTCAACTTAAAAGCTGAACTTGATAAAGAAAATGTTTTTTCTATTGTATTGCTGCGAAAACCAGTTTTTAGTAATTTTATTTGTTGTTGAGTGTTCAGAACAACTTACAGTGGGGCAAAAAAGTATTTAGTCAGCCACCAATTGTGCAAGTTCTCCCACTTAAAAAGATGAGAGAGGCCTGTAATTTTCATCATAGGTATACCTCAACTATGAGAGACAAAATG